CATTCAAACTTTTTTACAAAATCGTCAAAGTGGTTTTTTATAATTACTTCTTTTATCTCACCGTATAGCAGAGTAATTTAAAAGTTAAAACAATATCATAAAGTGCTTCATAGAAATTGCTCTACGCCTATGTAATTCGTACATATATTGCAAGCAGCCTAACGCTTTAAATCAATACTTAAAATTTTTGAGTACATTGAACTGTAATTACTTTTAATTTTTTTGCTTTAGTGGCTTTTGTTAAGAGTTTTTAAATTTTTTCATCTAATTATCTCATTTCAACATATTCGTTGTATTATCCATACTGCAGCTGTTTTTCAAAATGCCTTAAAGTAAAAAAAAAATCAATTTTAATCTTTTTTACAAAATAAGCTAGTTTAGATGTCTACAAACGTTATTGAATATATATTTTCAAAGAGTTCTGAAAAAATCATAACAGTTATTCATTTCAAAAAAAGTTTTACAAAGAATTTCTCCTAATAATTTTTTTTTAATTGCGTTTTTCTCAAAATACGTAATAAGAATATTAAGGCGTTTTGAAAAACTTATGCAGCATATATTTATTAGGCGTTAATGCAATGCGATAGTTAGATAATTGGAAAGTGATTTTTTTCGATTACAATTAGCTGCTAACTAATCGAAATGCGACTTCTTTCGATTTATGAGCACAAAAATCGCAGTGATTACGATTAAATCGCATTTTTATCGTTATTCTCGAAACATACCGCAATTTTATCGCTATTTGTTGCAAAGATCACTATTATCGTCTAATAATTCCATAAACTCTAGAAATTCTAGTTATACTTATTGTTATTCTCGCATATTCCAAGTTTTTTTTGCAAGTAAACTGGACGGCTCCGTTGGTCACTTTTTGCGATCATTGTGTTGCATAAGCAAAAAATTCCAAGTTCTATTTTTGCAAGTTACTAATTCAAAAAAGTAAGAACAGGACTTTATTTTATTTCTTAATACAAAAAAAAAAAAAAAATTATTTTAATCTTTTATGAAGAGGAAGATCATTTTTCTATCCTTTATATCCTATATATATGAAGAGGAAGATCATTTTTCTATCTTTTATATCCTTTAAAACTAATAAAAATTTAAAAATTGCACATTGGTTTCACTAAATTCAATTGAATTATAGCAAATAGGAATAACTGTTCCATTAACTATCAATTATCTGCATTACATCAGACTAATTGCTACTACAAAAACTATTTGCCATAAATCCGAAAAATCACAAAAATAGCAATAATTTTTTTTTTTTTAAATCGCTGATTGCGAAGCGATTTTTATAGAGCAAATCGCCGGGCAATATAATTCCTGTCAATTTTTATATAAAAAATAGCGTGCGTTTAAATGTAACTTTTTATCGCTTTTTAGTGCATAATCGAAAAAAATCGCTTTTGTGCTAACAGCCAATGCGATAACACCAGTGCTTAATATTAACAGTAAAAATATAAATGTAGCAAAAAAAACTTTTAATTGTCAAAAGAAAGTTTTAAAGATTTTCTAGCTACAGGCTTTTTTTTTTGTATCCACAGCATCACCTTCTGGAGTAGCAGGACTGTCTTATCAAGTTTTTTCTTTATTAAGTTTCAGACAATTTTTTTTCAGACCATCAGCAGCTTATTAGGACTAATTTCAATCATGACACATACACAATCATGACACATACACAATCATGACACATACGCAACAAATTTTTTCTCCTAATGTTTTGATGTTGTTTTTTTTTTGTTTTTTTTTTTATTTTACTTCACCTCCTCAAGGCCGAGAAGGCCACTACAGACAAGGAGGCTACTTATTTTGTGGCTATAACCCTCTCTCAACTCTATAACTCCGAAACACGAACCTTGACGAACAAGGCCGCTGCGCGGAGAAACAAGTTGAGCGCAGTACTACCAGGTTCGATCCCCACCAGGGACGTGGTGGGGATCGAACTCGGAACCACTCGTTTATGAAGCGAGGGCTCTACCACTACACCACTACCGCATGTTTTAAGAAATTTTAGTTTTTTTAAAAATCTTTTTGTTTGTTAAATCATTATAATAATTTCGTTTAATAATATCGTTTCATATGTTTGTATATAACTTCTATAAAACTTCAAAAGTACTTTGTATTTTAAAATAATCGAAAAAAATTTAAAAAAATGTTGCCAGTGGTAGTACTTGAACCACAACTTACTTGTTCAGAGGCTCAGTACTATATAAAGGAAATTTTTAAAACTAAGGCATGTTATCGGAAAAATCTGCCCACCTTTTGCGGTGTGGTAAAGCTAGTTAACGGTTGTTTTTTGAAATTACTTTTTTGTGTGTGGTAGTGTTTGTATAATAGAACATTTTGGCAGAAAAAAATAATTAAAAATATTTAGTTTCAAAATGTCAAAAAAATATTTAGTTTCAAAATGTCAAATGATTGTGGACAAACACTTAAAAAAATCCAACTTTATCGAATAGAAAGTTGGCGAAATCATTAAAAATATCAAGAAGAACTGTAGATACTGTTCTTAAATGGTTTACAGAACAGAAAACTATTCAGAGAAAACAAAGAAGTGGTCGAAAACAAGGAAGTGGTAAAAAAAAACGCACAGCAAATCCTAGAGCTCTCGAATGGTTGGAGACTTCATTGGAAGAACATCCTGATTGCTCTGATAGATTTCGAGCGAAAAAACGAAAGGTTTAAATTTTTTTGTACACAAATGGCGACAGAGACTTGGATATCAAAGTTTTAAAGTAGTTAAAATGCCAAATCGCAACGATAAACAAAATTCAACTGCCAACTGCAAAGAGTTGAGCTCAAAAGTTGTAAGACAACTTGTTAACAAAACATAATGGATGCATTTTGATGGATGACGAAACTTATGTTAAAATGGATTTTAAACAAATTCCTGGGCAGTGCTACTATGCTTTTAAAATAAGAGTGATAAATACAAGTATGTAATGACTGATAAATTTTTGAAAAAACTGATGATTTGGCAGGCACTTAGCTCTTGCGGCAAAAAATCACCAACTCATGTTTGTTTGGGCAGAATGAAATCTTCAGAATACTTGAAATGTTGTCTTTCTCGTATAAAACAACTAATTAAAGCTCATAGAAGTACTTTAGTATTGTTTTGGCCTGATTTAGCCACAATGCAATACTCAAAAGATCCTCAAAAGTTTTATGATGATAATGGAGTGATGTTGGTTCCGAAAAAGATGAATCCTCCAAACTGCACCAAATTACATCCTATTGAAAAATATTGGACCATCATAAAAAAGAAATTAAAATTGAGTGGAAAAACAGTCAAATCAATTACAGATTTGAAGAAAAAATGGGATTATGCTGCTAAAACTTACAAAAATCAACCTGTCCAGAAACTTATGGGAGGCATCAAAAAGAAAGTCAGAATTTTCTGTAAAACTTAATTTTTTTTTGTTTTTTCCCTATTAATATGTAATCTTTACAGTCTTAATTTTTCAGAAATATGTTGATTTAAATACATTTAAGCTTTCTTAGATCCTTTTTTGATCAAGAAAGGTGGACAGGTTTTTCCAATAGCATGCCTTATATAATGATTTTTTTAACGGAAACGAATGATATAGATCAAAATTAAGGAGAGCTTAACGCAATGCAATTTTCAAGTGAAAATCAAACTAAAACTTGATAAATATTTCAGTATGTTTTAACATTACTTAATTTGAAGTTTACACAACATTATCTGCATACAGGTTCGTTCACATTTTCTGAAAACAAAGTGCTGTGACTATTTCTCCCCACTACCTTGGTTGTAATGGCTACCAAGAGTTTTGTGTCAAACACGCTCGAAAAAGCACTAACACTACTACTAATATTATTAAGTTCAGCAATAATATCAAATATTATTTATCAACATTTATCAAATATTATTTTATTAAATTATTTTTGCTTATTATGAGAAGAATAGAAATAAATATTTCTGTGAAATAAGTATTTTTTTATATATATTTGCGGAAGGGGTGGAATATTGTTGCAGAAGGGATGAAATATTGTTGCGGAAGGGGTGGAATATTGTTGTGGAAGGGGTGGAATATTGTTGCGGAAGGGGTGGAATATTGTTGCGGAAGGGGTGGAATATTGTTGCGGAAGGGGTGGAATATTGTTGTGGAAAGGGTAGAATATTGTTGCAGAAGGGATGAAATATTGTTGTGGAAGGGATGAAATATTGTTGTGAAAAGGGTGGGTTGAAGAGAGGGAAGGGGACAATAGGTTGTTCTGTAATCACAATTTTAAACATTATAATGTAACATTTAAAACTATTTAAGAAATCAAATTTTTATCTTTATATAATATATTTTTATAAGTAAAAACAAGGGATAAGTACAAAAAACAAAATTAAATAGATGGAAATATGGAAAAGGATTAGAGTCTGAAATCATACTCCCAAGGGGAGGGCAATTGAAATTGTAAAAGTCATAAACTTGTCTTATGACCTATTTATTTTATTAAATTTGGTCAATACATAAAAAATATATCTTAAATAGAACCATAAAGTTGCATCTGAAATTAAAAGTAGTCTCTTTTAAAAATATTTGACCTAATTCCTTTAAAACTTAATTATATCATTAGAGATAATTATTACCCATTATGGAAAGGTATTGTCAGAAAATCTTGTATAGCTTCCACAGGAAGAGTAGACAATTTTCTTAAAAAATTACATATCTCACTAAAAAATACAATTTTAAAGAAAAAAAAAACCAAGTGCCCCTTTTTGGTTAGCGCCCCCTAACTAAAAATAAAAAAGTTTTTATTAAATGATTTTTCATAGTATCATTAATTTTCATAAAATTTCACTTAATATATATATATATATATATATATATATATATATATATATATATATATGTATGTATGTATGTATGTGTATATATATATATATATATATATATATATATATATATATAATATATATATATATATATATATATATATATATATATATATTTAAAACCTTGCATAACAAACAATCAAATAATAACCTTAATAATGTTATTAACCAGTCAAATGAAATTAACTCTTGGTGGTCATCTTTTGAAATTGTTAAAATACAGTTAACTAAAGAACTAATAACAAATAGATGTTGGCAGGTCAGCTGATTAATATTTGAAGAAATCCAATATCTTGTTACTTCACAAAACTTAATAAGTTTACTGTTTTCATTTCTAAAATAAATGTAAAAAGTGTATTTAACAAAAAATGGGCTCAATGTAAAAAAAAATATTTATATTTTTTTATTTTTTATATTGTAAATATACATATATTTAATATATGTATATTTACAGCGCTTGAAACAGCGGCCAATTAAAAATTGACATGTTCATCTCCAAAAAATTAAATCTGGCCGATCAAATTTGATCGCAGTAATTGCTTGTCAAACTTTAATAATAATTAATAGAAAAATATTTGAAATACAGAAAGTTAAAAATATTAAATTAACATCAAAATTATATTAAAATGAATTATATTTTAAACTTAATTTATTCTAATTTAATAACAAACAACTCATTTAAATTCTAAATAAAATAATTTTTTAAAAAAAGGCAACTTTTATTTTAATTCTAAATATAATAAAATCGGCAAAACTAACGTTTTATTTATTTTCTAAATAAAATAATTAAAAAAATAAAAACAGCAAAAACAAAAACTAATTTATATTTTATTAAACAAACAATTTATTTTATTTCTAAATAAAAAAATTAAAGTTAAAACGGCAAAAGCAATTTGATTATGCAAACTTTAAAAAAATGTATTTTAAATTTTAGTAAAACTTAATAAAAAATTGATTGTCTAAAAAATGATTTGATGGTCTGGTTTTTAATTTTTTTATTTCAGCCGATCAATGTTAATCGGCAACCATTGAATAATTATTTCCAGCGCTGTATTTATAGTGTATTATAGTATATATACTGTACTATATATATAGAAAATTTATACAATATTTTTTTTTACCTTCCACAAGCTGAAAAACATACAATAATAGACCATATCATTTCTAAATCATTTTCCCATGTAATTTCATCAAGCTTTTTAGCAAGTATATCAGTAACTGCAATATTTGACAGGCATGGAAAGCTAAATATATTAAATGAAGCACAACTATATGGTCTTGTGAACATATCTTCATCTCTGTATGTTAGTTGCACTGAAAAATCAAGTACTTCAGACATATTGGTTATTATACCTTGTGCAAGAAAATATAAAATAGATGATAGACATAACTCATCAAATCTTTCCCAATTAATGATTTCCAAACAAAATGAAAGTTTGGTGTTCATATTTATAGAAACAGATGATAGAACACTTGCAAAAATTGAAGAGATATCATTGTTTGTCAAAGTGCTAAATTGTATTGTCATTAATGATTTGCAAAGCTTTAACAATGATGTTATAACATTTTGATTCTTTGAAGAGCTATGCTTCTCTATAATCTAAGAAAAACAAGTTAAGTTAACAACAAAAATTAAGAGTTAACTTTAAAAATATACAAAAAAATACACAAAAATAAATAAAATTAATTTAGACAACAAATTACATTAAGTTGAACCTATGAGTTATTTATAATTTATTCTATTTATAATATATCTATTTATAATTTTTTTATTTATTACTATGGCAATGGTCTTTTGATCAGGAATATATGCACCATTTTTGAAGCCAACACAATTATCTAGCAAACCCAACATAAAATGTAACATGTGGGTATCAACTGATTTGTTTATTTGATTGATTACAGTTTCATACAAAATAATGCTATGTTTCTTAGTGACTTGATAGAGCGACATTGACCAGACTTTAGTAAGTACAGAAAACACCTGAAAACAAACAAAAAAAAAGCAAACGAATGTTATTTCAAACTTGGGAAAACACTTAAAAAGAAAATATAAACAAAAAAATTAAAAACCTCTTCTTGTACTAATTCATTCATTATTTCTAAACAATATTTTAAAATATCCTCTGCACATGAATGCAAGTGTTCTTTAACCCCTTTGATAGTGTGGAACACAAGCATACCCATTCCATTAGCCAGTGGTGGTTCAGATGCAACTTGAGAAAATAAAAATCTTAATATTTTTTCTTTGTTTTTACTTTTTCGAACAAGAAAAGCAAAAGACTCTGCAGCAAAGTTTTGTATGTGTTGCTTCTGCTGACTTGAAAGCAAAACCTTAAATATTCTAAAATAAATGAAAAAAAATCAAATTTTTCTTAAATTCTAAAACCATTAAAAAAAATTTTGTAAACGTTGACTATAAAAAAATATATATATATATATTTTGAAACTAAAAATTAAATATTAAAATTAAAAAAATAAATAAGATTAAAAAAGTGTTCAAAATTATTGTTGAAGAGATGCCAAGTGTGAAAAGTATGATGCAAGCCTAAAATGATGAAACTGATGATGTAACTAATGACATAACTGATGATGTAACTGATCACTTATTTAAATGTTTAATAGAATTCCAAAACATTTTTAAACACACTTATTCAACTATTCACTAAAACACTAAAAAAAAATTTAAATGTAAATCAGCTATAACAAACTTTTTCTTTTAAATAACTAACTTAAAAACATTTTCCAAATCTGCAACAAGATATCGCCCAATAAATTTAAAGATATGTGCCAAACTTCTAAATGTGTTTTCAATCAAAACAGTATCATTGGTAGCTAAAAATCCAGTTAAAATAATAAATATTTCTTCAAAATACGGACAAAAATCAATAAGTAAGTCTTTAGATAATGTTGCAACTAGATCTAAACATGGCTCTAAAGCCAGTGGGAATTCCAAAGTAAGGTACTTTTTAATAATAGTTACTACTGTTTCCTTGTGAAATATAAGTTGGTTAAAACTTTGAACATAACGTTTGATCTCCCTATAAAAAAGTGTGAAATGTAGAGAACAATTAAGTTCAGTCCATCGCTCAAGATTTTCCCGAAAAAAAGTATCTTTATCATTTTCCGGAACTTCATGTTCCTTTGATCCAAGATTATGATAGACATCAATTTTTATATTAGAAATACGTTCTGCAAAGTTTTGAAACTTGAACCTATTATGTTTTTTCTTAACATTTTTATCGTTAACCTTCTCAATATTCATTATTGACTAAAATTAAAAGTATCAAATAAATAAAAATTAAATTAATAAAAGTTTTTGTAGTAAATTACTAAAAAAATATTTAATACTTTTATATTAATATAATATACAAAATATTATATTATATATTATATATAAAATATTATATTATTCATAAAAAAAATCATAATTAATATAACATAATAATAAAAAAAAGGGACAGTTATTCAACTATATACTTTTTGTTCAAAATAACTTCTTTTATTCATTTTATACAATCCATTATATTTCCACACCAAAGTCATACACCATGAAAAACTATTGATACTTCTTCTATATATTCAACTGAAAACTTAAATACTGACTAGAGAATTCTGTACTTTAAATTACCAACCATAAACTCAGCAGCAGGGTTGCCAGGTTTTTTTTCGGGCACAAGCCAAAAATGAAACAAAAATAAACCAGAAATAAACCAGACCCAAAAAAAAAAAAAAAGCATAACTTTTTGTTTTAAAACCTTGCTTATAATTTATATTTTGAAAAAAAATGCTTTTTTATCCAAAATTCTTCCTTGAATATTAAAATTTATTTTGTAAGAGAGTGAAGGAGGAGGAGAAGAACAACTTAGTGAATGTTTAATGGAGCGCCAGTCCAGCTTTCAAAGCAGCGTGGGGAAAGTAGTTCACTCTTAAACACCTATACAAAATCTGACACTATCAACCTGTAAAATATATTCATTTTTTTCGCTTGCATATGGATATAGATTTCTTTTCCAGCAATTACGATAATTGAATCAATTATTTCAAAGTCCTGGTAATAAATCTTCTGCCTTATTAAATAAGACTTGATCCAAATGACTGCATGCAAGGCTTGGTTTGATATTTTCTGATTTTGTCTGATTTTTGTCTGCTTTTTATGCAGATGAACTGTGAGAAGACTCAACAAAATAGTTAGAAACAGAACACATAGACAGCCATGGCAGTAAGCATCTATATTGCAGCGGTCTAATTCTCCAGAAACTTCTAAATGGTCTCACGAAGCAGTTTAAAATTCAGCAGTGTTCTCAGAAACTCATTTTTCTAAAAGTTTTTAGACTCGCTCTAATGATGCAATGTCAATAAATTTATGATTAATGACGATTTCTGTAATGATTTTCATTTTCTTCACTTTTTGCATCCATAAAACAGTAGACTTGAAATGGCCTTTTCAACTGGGGAAACAACATACATTACAGGCAGATTTTTCTCAAAAAATATCATTTTGAATGTAAGAATTTTTTAATATTTTTGGCAATTAAGGGATAAAAACAACACTTTAATTACATTACAAGTACAAGTTTTTACCGTTTTAAGATTTTAATGTAAGCATTTCTTTCATTTATTTTAAACTTGATTGTTCTTCTATAAAATGAAAAATGAAAATCTTTCTTTCCCTCAAATTAAATTTTTTCATGAAACAAAAACTTAATTAAATTGATTTATTATTAAATAAACCAGAATTAAACCAGATTTTAAAAAACATACCAGAGAAAATAAAAAAAGACTAGAGACTTTAAAATAAACCAGATTTAAATCAGATTTTCTAAAATAAACCAAAACAAAAGCTCCAAGCCAAACGATTATAAAACAAACCAGATTTGAGAAATCTGGCTTTAAAAAACACCAGATGGCAACCCTGCTCAGCAGGAAAAAAAATCAATTTTTAAAAGAAAACACAAGAACATAATAAAGAAAACACAATAACATAGCATATATATATATATATATATATATATATATATATATATATATATATATATATATATATATATATATATATATATATATATATATACATATATATATATATATATATTATGCGGTAGTGGTGTAGTGGTAGATCGCTCGCTTCATAAACGAGTGGTTCTGAGTTTGATCCCCCACCACGCCCCTGGTAGTACCACGCTCAACTCGTTTCTCCACGCAGCGGCCTTGTTCATCAAGGTTCGTGTTTCGGAGTTATAGAGTTGAGAGAGGGTTATAACCACAAATAAGTAGCCTCCTCGACTGTAGTGGCCTTCTCGGCCTTGAGGAGGTGAATTAAATAAATATATATACATATATATATTTCTATAGTTTAGTACTTATAGGGATAGATTTTACAAAAAAACGAACACTTAAGGGTTAGGGGTTAGGGTTAGGGTTTTATTTTAGTGTACCAGTTAATTTTTTGTCCCTGTAAGCATGATTTTTTTTGAGAAAAATGTACCCGTAAGAAACTTTTATATAGAACGAAAAGTACATACATCGACTGACAAATAGACTCACAAGGGAGTGCTGCTACATCGACTGAGGGTTTGGTTTGGCCAGGCATCAAGGTCAGGTTTAGGGTTAGGGTTACAGCAAGGTTTAATTTTGATTATATTATTGTAATTAATCGTTTTTGTAAATAGATGAAGTTAAAAATGAAATATAATATAAAATAAATAAATAAAAATAACAAAAATTAATATAAAAAATATATTTTTATAATAAAATAATAAACTTAAATATGTATAAATAAAAAGAGAAATAAAATAAAAATTAAAAAATATAATAATAGTATAAAAAAAGTAAAAAAAAACAACAGAGCGGGAACAAAAATACATGTCCCCGAAAGTCGCCAACTAGGATGATATATATATATATATATATATATATATATATATATATATATATATATATATATATATATATATATATATATATATATATATATATAAAACATCTTACTGGTACTAAGTATTATTTATGAACATTTTTTTAAAAGTGTCAATTTTGGGTCTCAAAAAATACAAAATAATATTTGAAAAATTCAAAAAGAATTATACTTTAAAAATAAAATAATCATGAAAGAATTTATAAAAGTTATTGAAGCAAATTATATGCTGATGATGCAAGTTATATACTGATGATGCAAAAATAATGTCAAAAATGTATTAATGATTGTAAAAACTTGCAAAATGAAATTATTAGTTGATTGGTCAGAAAAATGGTTACTGAGATTAAACAATGAAAAATGCCAAGCAACTAATTCTAGGTTACTAATGCTAGGTTATGCATATTAACAGTAGTAACAAAGAAAATGAGTATCTAATGGTATCAAAACAAATAAGACAAAATAGATAAGAACTCGTGAGTTTAGGATAATCATATCAATTATTTGGTTAATCAGGCAAAGAGAGTTTCATGAACAATAAAACATTGATTTACTTATTTAAATAAAAATGTTTTTAACATTGTTAGTTGAGGTCACATTTTGAAAATACTGCATTCTGTAAGCATTTGTAAAAAAAATTAAAAAAAATGAAAATATTCAAAAAGAAACAACACAAACTCCTTCACCCAAAGATTTGTCGGTTAAGTAACTATTATTAGAAAAATTACAAAACAGACAAAATTTAATTGAATTGTTCAATATTATGAATAGAACATAATTAAATATAATTAAAAAAAAAAAAAAAAAACATAATGACAATTTTTCAAGGTTAATCAATTGACAATTTTTTCGAAACCCCATTTCTCAATAATTTAACTTTGAATTTCATATAGGGTTAAAATAAAAGTAAACTTTTATTCAAACCCTATATGAAATTCAAAACTAAATTTTCATATAAGATTTAAAGTCTTGTTCATCTTCTTTTGTCTCCTTGAATTTTTTTGTCTGCTTTCCGTCTCTTGATAGGTTAACTCTAATTATCCTTATATATATCTAATCTCTTCTTAGTTTCTATTGGTTTTCATTGCTTGTACTTTTTTATATACAAAGTTATGCAAAATTATTATTATTATACAATTGTACAAACGTGTTCTAAGTTAACTAACCAATTATAATTACAGAGATATATTAAAAAGTATTTACAAAAGTTATTAATATGAAAAAATCAATAATAAACTGGTAAATTTTGAATGTAAGTGTTTAATGTGTTCACAAAAAGTTCATTTTCAATTGGTTCTCCAAGCTTTGTTAATGGGTTTTTCACAACGCAATCCACATATATCTAGAAGGAAAAAAAATCTATTAAATGAAAACTCTTATATAAAACACCTGAATTAAATTGCAGGTTCGAGTAGGAGAAACTTAGAAACTTTGATAACCCTTGTTATAGTACCACATTAAAAATGGTCCTGAGTAGAGAAACAGGTTAATCTCTGAAAAAATATCTGGTTAAAAATTATAATAAAAAGATAAAAAAAAAGTATACTTTGTAAATGCTACGCAGATAGTCATCACATTTAGCTACATTTAAGTCAGTATTCAAAATAATTCGAAGACCAGTTGGAGTTTCAAAATAATTTAGCTTATAATTATTTGTGCGGTAATTAACAAATAAATCTTTACTAAATTAAAAAGTCAAGGCTTCATAAAAAAGATTACAAAATATTTACTTTACCAAGGCTTTACCTTCATGAAAATGATTGCAAAATATTCACTTCACCAAGGCATTAATTCATAAAAAAGATAACAAAAACTCACTTTCCTTGCTTGTTAAAATCTTGATTGTTAAAAACACATGAAAAAATATATTTTTTCAAATAGAGAAACAACTATTTGAAAAAATATATTACAAATTTTAAGATTACATGAATAAAATACTTAATTTTATTTGTAAATAAATCCAGAAAACTTTTATGTGGTGAAGTAAAAATAATTTTTTAAAGGATTAAAATGTAACTTTTATTAAATGCTTTTTAAACTTCTTATAAACATATAAACTAGGGCCCAGTCAATCATTAATTTATCAACATTTTTAGTTTTAAATTGAATCTCGAATCAAAGCAGCACTTGATTTACGAATCAAATAAAATTCAAATCAAATCACTAGTTTAAGGAATTCAAATTTAATTTTTTCATCTTTATATTCTCACAAAACAGTACAAAATCAGAATGAACAAACTTTTTTAGTTGCTAATAGTCCAAATTAACTTTACAATGTTTTGTTTGAAAAGACAATTACACTTATTGTCTATTACTCCTCCTTCCATAAAGCTAACTCTCGCTGATGAACAATTTGCAGCTTGTACAGTAAGAAGACCAATTACAACTAATAATAAAATGAAAATATTACTGTTTTGCAGCAGACAATAAGACAATTTGAACGTCCCAATAATTTCTTTTTGGTGTACCAAGTAAATTCAAAATTTAATTGGTGATCTAATGTTCTTCTCTCTGGTATGGTACAGTTTTAAAACTTTTGAAGAAAGTTTCATTTGTTTTAGATAAGAAAATTGTTCCCACAAGTTGAATTTCATTGAGAATCATCGAAATACTTAAATTGGGCTTTTTTCAGTTTTTGTAAAGCAAGATTCCACAATTTGCATGTCTGCTAATGACTACATCTAAAGAGGCTCAACTTTCTAAAGTAAACTTGCTGCCTACTCAACTTTATACATGGCAAAAAATTTTCTCTTTTTGATCACTTAGATTAGGAAGCTGATCTTGGATCTGATCTCACTTCTGTAACAGATTAGGGCTTGCAGTTACTTGTGAATTTTAACTCAACAAAACTCAATTATTTACTGCAAACAATTACTGTGATACTGTCAACATACCTATATTTCTTAATGGCAACCCTCTCAGTGAGTCCTCTTCTTTGTATCTTCTTGGATTATCACTCACTATTGACCTCTCATGGAAATTATATATACAATCGATTGCTAACGATTGCTATATGCTAAGATTGTTTCTCTTTTTGATAAAGGCCATTTTTAGGCCGAACATATTTTATTATCACAACTTAAGTAGTTAAGAGGTGTGTAAAATATTAATAATCAAGCTTTGTAAAACAAAAGATGTTCTTTTTATCCACCAATACTATTTAGTACAGAAAAAGCTTTCTACGCTGATTTTTATAGTTTTTAAAGTATTTAAAGTATAACTTTTTTATAGTTTTTAAAGTGTTTAAAGTATAACTTTATGGATATATATATATATATATATATATATATATATATATATATATATATATATATATATATATATATATATATATATATATATATATATATATATATATATATATATATATATATATATATATATATATATATATACTTTCCTAAAGTAATAAATTTTTAGATAAAAGATAAAATAGTTGCTTTAATATACATCTAAATTTAGAAATTTAAATTTTGTATATAATTTGCATTTATCTAATAAATGTTAACCAAAAAACTAATAGATGTTTCAATGATGTTTGATGTGAAATCAAATAGCAAAACAGTCATCGCTCATAAAACTTATTTAATATTAAAATATTATCTATTTTCCTTAAAACTTGAGAAATTTGAACAACAATGAAAAAAAATTTTCTCTTTTTCTATAATCACATAAATAAAAGTTTTTTTAATAATTTCATTTCCAAAAAAAAAAAAGTTTATTTATAATTTCATTCCCAAATTAAATTATTTTAAAAACTTTACAAATAAAAATTATATGTAAAAAAAATTGAATTTATTTATGTGATTATTGTTTATTAAAAAGCTTATATTATATAAAATAGTTATTTAAAAAAATTACTAATACAAAGATTAATGATAAATGTTGATACTCGTATGACAATCAATACAAAATGTCAATTACAAACAATAATTTTAAAACAATTATATCCAACCAATTATAAAACTTAGATCAATATCAACGATTTTGAAAAGATACCTATCAGTTGGCGACATTCTTGTCACAAAAGATTTTATAGAAAATATCATACCATACATTAGTTTTTGCTCCTATAAACAAAAGATTTTATAGAGAATATCATACCATACATATAGTTTTTGCTCCTATAACCAAAAAATATTAGTAACAAAGATATACAACAAAATAACAAAAATATATATCTAGCTACCTATTAGTATTAACATGTTTTTAGGTTTCAATAAGAAACTTCCTCTTTACAAGACACCGCTATCACATTAACTTATTCCTATCATATTTACATAATAACTACATACTACTATATTACTACCATATTTACATAATAACTACTAACTACTATAGTACTACCATATTTACATAATAACTACATACTACTATAGGCCTTGTAAAAAAGCATATTATGCATTTTATGATTCATTAACTGATACAATTAACAAAAAATAGTAAAACTGTTGTAATCCTTAAATTTTATAAAATACATGTGATATGCTAAAAACATTTGTGTTGGGAAGATCTGGGTAGGATGTTCTGAAATAAAATTTTAAATACCTATACATAGTACCTTTTGTGTTATATATATTAAAATAACATTGGATTTAAAAAATTCTTCTGTGTAAGTAAGCATTATTTATTACATAACCAACTCTCTCTCTCTTTCTCCTTTCCCAATGCATAATCTTTCAAAATGAAAAATTTCATTACGCAACTAATAATTTATTCAAACAGTTCAGTGACATTAGAGCCTAATACATTAGAGAACTTTGAGTTGAACTTCAATTAAATGCTGTCAACTCAAATTAATATTACGCTTGTAATGAAAATTATTGGTCATCAGCATAAAAATAACTATTTTTTACAATTACAGGAAAACAAGATGGCAAATGGGGTAAGATGGATATTAGAGTGTTTCTTATTTGGGGTTAAAATTTTTTTTGTTTTGTTTTTCAGTGGGCCACCCACTAAAATGGTTCATTTTGATGAGAAAATAAATGTGTAAAAATTTCAAAGGGAAAAAAACAATATTACTGAGCGCTACCAGTCATTGAAATTTAAGGCATATTTTACTATGCGCTCTTAGTCATTAACAAAGTAAAAAATCATAAAACTGATGGAGGCTGGTGATAATGACTCATTTACTTGGTACACATTTATTTACATATTACATGCATTAAAAACATCTATTTTCTGTCATTGCATTTCTACTTATTTATCAAAAAGACAGCAATAAACATGCTTTTTTTACTTTGATTGCAGGTTTATTTAAGACAATAGTTACAGTACTAAGACTAATTGCTCATGAGAGTTGTCTTTTTTCTGTCAGGATATTTCTGTCTATAATTTTGAACTACTAACAACAGGAACTGCTTTTACTCTTCATTAATGCTACGCCACGTTCTGCAATGTCGTTGACAACCTTCATGCTCTGAACAGTGGACTTAACAGTCTTGAACTCATCATCATGTTCCCATTCGCTCACACTGTTTTGAAGAAAGTGTGATGAAAGTCCTGTGATGCTGAAAAATTTTTGCGTATTAAATGTGACAAAGTCCTCCAGTTTCTTTTCTTGGATAACTAAGCAGTCCACAGTAGCCTGTTTCATAGGTATCTGATCTGAAACATTGTTCAATGCATGGACCATCTTGACCTTCGTCTCAGGGCGAACCTCATCATCAAAAAAAGCTAAAGCAACAAGTTCCTCTGATAGGTACCAGAGATGGCCTTGTAACTTCTTCACAGCAATTTTCGAGATCTCAGGACGCTGAGTCTTGTAGGCATCCAAGTCTTTCAAGAGCTGCAGATCAAGTATAGGAGCTGAGGTTGTTTCAGGAGATCTGTACCAGGCTGTAATGTACAGTCGAACCGTGAAAAGGCAAATATCCCTTATTTCCTTCTCCTCTCTTTTTGTCTCCCAAGAAAACAATAGGCAACTCTAAAAGTTCTCAGTAGTCATCACGAGCTTGAAAGATTTGTAGTTGATCTTTGCAAAAGACGATTCTTTCATCAGTGATATCGGTTAAAGAATTTGAAGCGTTCTTATCACACTGTGCTGTGTGGTACTTTGTGGAATCAATTGAGACCCAACTTTTCTGAAATCTTTTAAAGAGTGGTATATCTACTTGAAAGGCCGAGACACAGCAAAACTACTGCTTCCAGAATTTCCAGAATGTGGTGACGACATGCCAACCACAACATATCTTTCCCGAAATTCTGCTCTAGAAGAATGCAAGCCCCATTTCTTGGCCCAGTATTGGCTGCAGTAGTATCAAAGCACATGCACTTGATCGTTAATTCCCCATGCCACTGACACCTCATGCACCCCAGATACCACATTTTCACCTGTTCCTGATGGTAGTTTTGGGACACTAAGAAGCTGCTGCACTCCTACTCCAGATACTAGAATTGGAAGTCGGTCAAGAGTTTCTTTACGGGTAATGTCAGTGAGTAATTTTCTATCCCAATGAATACATAAAGGAACTTCTGGTTTGAATTCCTTCCTTAAACCTTCTGCTATCTTCTTGTGGTGTTTTATTCGTTCCCTTCGAATGGAAGCTGGATTAACATTGTATTCTCTTTGATCATGACCAAAAAGTTGTAATGCCGGTGTTAAAACAAGTGCCACCCCACGATCACTCAACTTAGTCACACCTAAATTACCCGCCAACTTCTCATTCAGTATATTTTTGCTGCCAGGTCTTGAAGGCTTTGGAAGTTGATGGCTCAGGGTCATCTTGGTTACCAGGCAAGGCATCTTCTTAAGTTATGCTTCTTCTATCTTCTTTAGGGTTATCTTCACCTTCAGATGATGATGAAAGAACAACTATTTCTTCTCGAGATTTTCTTGCCATCTCCTCTCGGTCCCTTTTTTGGTTCATTTCTTTTTGTCTTTTTCTTAAATTTTCTCTTTTTGGCATAATAGGAAGTCCTTATCCTCCTGAATGGTGATCATTTCCAATGCGTCGGCATGGGCAATACTCAATAGTTCTTCTAATCCTTTATTCCATAAGTTTTCCTTTTGTTTAAAATAATCTGAACACTTAGCTTTATTCTCTTTATTTTTCTTCAAATTTTACCATTCCTTGTAAATGTTTTCGACTTTGGGGACATCGTGCTTTTTTAATTGCACAAGTATTCAGGCCTTTGACCAAACTTCAAAAACATCATTTGCTGTGAAATGTAATGCTTCCCTGATGCTTTGCTTGGCAATCTGCTTGTAATGGAAGAAAAGGTCCAACACTTCCCTTTTTGATGGAAGCTTAACACTATCTAAAGAGAAGGACATCTGTCCAATAAGCCATATCTCAGTTTTTTTCCTGGTGGTTTTCATTGCACTGGTTGATGAAGCCATCACTGTACAGTAGTTACACTAGTTTAATCCGCAAAAGGAACAATTAAGCATTAAAGACACAATTCTGCACACTAAAAGTAAAAAAATTACCAGTTAAAATAGGTTTGTACGCTAAGCACCAACCACTTTTGTTGCATAACATCATACACAACATAAGCATTTTTAGGGTACATACGCACAACACTGTAGGGTCAGTAGCGACCCCTAAAAATCATTCTTAAAAAAAAAAAAAAAATAGGGTATTTCTTTTTTATCATAATGAACCAAATGGTATTATGAATAAATCATGTTTTTTAAGTACATTAGATGTTAATGATTCCATCACAAAAAATATTATTTTAAAAAACTAATCTATTTGTTCAGTTAAATACTAGCCAAGTTTTTAAACTTAAAAGCATAAGTTTCATTACTATTAGCACTTATTAATTAACTTAATAAAATGATAGATAATTAAATACTTGAATAAAATTTATGGACTTAAGATACTTAATTTGTAGAGTTTTCCATAATTAAGATCCTTTTAAAACTTTCTTATGTTGAGATGACCTGTTAAATTGCTTAAACTTTATTTATTTATTTTTTTTCTGTTATACTATGAAAAACAATAGAATTTGCTATAAACTAACTGAAAACAATTAGGTTTGATTTTGAAGACAGTGATAAATTTAAAACTTTTTCTCATAACACCAAAAACGGACTTAAGATTAAGATTTAATCCTCGGCGGGAATAAATGAACACGAGAGCAGAGAAAAGCTCTCCTAAAACGAACTTGGGGAGCTGTGCAAGCTGCTGCTCAATTAAATCAGCGCTCTTTTTTAATTTTACCTTTTTTTTTGCGGCAACTGTGCTTTTTAAAAAGCATTGCAGTATATTATGCAATTAATTTTTTTTTTAAATGAAATTGTGTTCTTTATTTTAGTTACAACGATTATTATACTTTTGTGAGAAAAAATATACTTTTGCAAGAGCCATAAATTGCTCCCGCAAACTTAGGGGAGTGTGGGCGAGAGTGAGAGCTAAAGCTCTTGCTTCCCGCCGAGGCTTGGTATGGCATCTGCTAAGGGTCTCTTTATCGTGCTTGCCATTTTCTTTTTCTATATATATTCTCTACCTCTACAAATCTTTTATTTGTCCCTGTATGGAATATTGTTATCATATTTGGGCAGTTCTTCTAACAATGCTCTTTCTCTACTAAGCAAGGTCCAAAAAGTCATTGTAAACGTACTTAGACCTGTTCTATCTGCTAAGTTGAGCCTCTTTACCTTCGCCATAAATTTGCATCTCTTCCTCTTTTCTACCAATACTATCATGGTCACTGCTCAAAGGAGCTATCATTTCTAGTTACATTAACTAAAACTCATTCTTGCTTGACTCGCTATTCAGCTAAATCTCATTCTTTTGCTACATTTGTCCTTACATGCTCTACTAACTTTTATTTGTCTAGTTTTTTTTCCCTTCACTTTAACCCTTTGAAACTCTCTCTCTTCACGTTTTTCTGACTCATAGAACCTTCAACTTCTTACATCTTCTATCAACTGTTTCCTTGCTCTATAACTCTACTTTTTTTTTTCTAGAAACTCTCAACTTCATAGTGGTTGCTTGCAGCTTTGTTGGGAGTAAATCAGAATAAAAAAAATAAAATAAAAAACTAGGACCAAAGACTAAACACAAAATAAGGAAAAAGGTTGTGCTGATGGTTTTGTGTAATATTTTTAGTAATATTTTCATAATTTGAATTATTAGAAAGGTCTTGATTCAAACATAAACAATTCTTAGCACGCATATATATATAGTAATAGGCAAAGCAGTTGGTTCTTTATATGAACTTAACATCTAAGGTTCTTTAAGTGAATTCAACAATCCATACCAAAAGTATTAATAGATACTATATGATAGATACCATGGGCGACATGATACACTGTTAATACTCTGATATATTACAACTGTTAGATAATTTTAGTTCCGAGGGTTGATATATATATAAATTTAGTTATATATATATAACCATCTGCTTTGCCTATTACTATATGTATATGCGTGCTAAGAATTGTGTGTATATATATATATATATATATATATATATATATATATATATATATATATATATATATATATATATATATATATATATAGTAACAACATAATATACTTGTGTTTAAAATAAGCAATATAACTAATATCAAACCTCATCCTTTGGCAAATTCGAAAATTTTCTTCTCTGCCAATCATGATAATATAAACATGTACCAAATCGATCAAAAATGTATAAATTATATATTGTCATTTCTATAATCTGAAAATCAGAAAATAATTTGAACCACATTGAATACCATACAAAATTAACTTTACATAAATATACTGATCTATAGTCTCTAATAATAATTGTTGGTTAAAAATGCAATAACTAAGCATTGGACTTTTTAAAGTAAAAATTGCTATTTGCATCCTTTTATTATCTTTGAAACATGGTAAAGGAAAAAATGAGCCATTAAGTTATTCCTCTGTTATAAATTATAAATAGATTTAAGATATTAAAGCTCACTGTTCATCTTTAGGGCTGTATATTACAAATTCCTTTTCAGTATTCCTTCTAATTTTTATATAAAAAATGTTCTGCAATAGGTTTTCCTTCACTTTTACATAGTATTTCCTAGTTTTTAGTTAAGTATATATTTCTTAGTTCTATTATGTTACTTAGACACATTTTACCTATTACTCAAATCAATTGATGAGTTGTAAAAGTTGTAAAAACTCATCAAATCAATTGATGAGTTGTATTACAAAAATTAATACTTTTACAACTCATCAGATAAACATGTACTAAATCAATCAAAAATGTATAATTATATATTGTCATTTCTATAACCTGAAAAACCACTCACGCTCATGGCCTGTTGAGGTTGTAAAGGGTGAACAGCGTCAAAAAAAAAGTCATCATGTTTGCGTGCATGACTGGAAATAGGGGAAGGGGTTAAGACATTTGGGGGGTATAAAAATGTACGCAAAGCAACAGGAGGGAGGGGGTCTAAACCTGGAGATTTTTGTGTACATAATATATGGATGGCCCCTCATGGTTTATTCATTTTCACATCTCTGTTTAAATTAAATTCTGTACAATATTCAGAACCACTATCTATTGTATTAAATTGTCTCTCTCGGTATTATATAAGAGAAATTTCCATGTTACCTGTATCATCTTTTAGTATAATTCTTTAAATTTAAATAAATTTAATAATAATAGTACAACATAAATTGATATAAAATAATTGATAAAATAAAAATTTTAAAAATTGCTGAATAATTGTAAAAAATAATTAAGATAAGTTTAAAAATCTCTTTAAAAATCTACAGTGAGTTAAATTTGTTTTAGAGAAAAATTAAATTTGCATCCATAAAAGAAAAAACTTATGTGGTATAGATGTAGAATATTCACATTATAAGCAAGAAGTTCCAAGATGTGCTACACTACACCTCCTTGCAGTGTAGCACTTTTATTATTTACTGTTAAAACTTGTGTTTTAAAGAATAGAGAGTTTAGAAAGTTGCAGCAAAAATTTTAAAAAAAGTAGCTGCTTTAGCTGCAGTGAATTCAATGTTTGAAAAATTTATTTTAAATGTTCAAAATTTTAAAAATCTCAAAATTTAATACAAATTATGTAACAGTTTTAACATTTAGGTCCTAAAAAAAACAGGTGCTTAATCTTGCATAAAATACCATTGATGATCAGGGGTGATTCTAGGAATAATATAGGAAGGAAGGGGGGCAAATTGTTAAAAACTGCTTTCTGAAAAAAATTAAAAGTCCTCAAACCTTAAAAATTTCCAGACTGAAATGTGTCAAATGTTGACTAGCAGACTATGTTTTTTTAAAAACCGACTATAAGTTAAAATATCATAATATTGGTTCAGGTTTGGGCAGGTACTACCTAAATATGAAAATTTTTAAACAATAATATATTTTGCTTTTCCTGAATAATAAATAATAATAAATTCTAATAAACTTTTTCTGTATATTTAGAATTCAAGTCAGAATTTAAAAAATTACAGTGTGCAAAAAATATGAGCGCAATACCAACCTATCAGCAAAAGTAATTGTGTGTGTATATATAATATCCAACTACTATTATTAATTACTATCACCATCAATAATTATACCATAAAATAACATAATAACACTTGAATTGAATTGAAAAACTACCATTTTGTTAAAACACAATTTTTTGTAAATCTTTATTATAAAAAATTTTAATTTCGATTCTATCAAATAAATAAATTAAAAAAAAAAAAAAACATACAACTTTAACTTTTTATATAAATATAAATATATATATATATATATATATATATATATATATATATATATATATATATATATATATATATATATATATATATATATATATATATATATATATATACACACACACACACAGAGTGTTAGCCAGGAATATATTTTTTACCGCATTTTTGCAATATTGTAAATATTTATTGTTATTGTTTTACAAAGTGCTGGGAATTTTTATTAAAATTGTTTTATACCTACAAAGAAGTAAAAAAAAAAGGTCATTGCATTTTGGAAATGTTAATCCCATTGGGAATTCCGCGTTATATGCAATGCTATTGTGCTGGCTAACACCCTGATATATATATATATATATATATATATATATATATATATATATATATATATATATATACATGTATATTTATGTATATGTATATATATATATATATACATATATAATATATATAATATATATATATATATATATATAAATATATATATATATATATATATATATATATATATATATATATATATATATATATATATATATATATATATGCATGTATGTATTATGTATGTATGTATGTATTATGTATGTATTATGTATTATGTATGTATAAAGTATGTATGTAGATGGATTAAAAGAAAATAATTAGAAAAATACAAAAAATAGATATACTGTTACTGTTTAAGAGACTGTTCATTTTTTTCACACAAAATAAAATTAATAAAATACTATTAGTTTATTACTGTTCTGAATTATCTCTTTGAAATCTATTAGTTCTTATAGTTTTAAAAGTTTGAGGTTGATGCCCAATTTTTACCACTTTGAAATATTCTATTTCTAAATTAAAAGGACCTGACTTTCTATCAGTGAGAGAAATGCCTATTGTTCGAATATTATTAAACTGCATTTGTTCATCTTGAGCAAAACCTTTATATGTCTGATAAAATTTTGAAAATGGTATTCGTTCAATTTCCCAATATGGACCCCCTTTTGTGAACAAAAATGCTTGAAACAAATCAAATTTGTTTAACATCATCATGGATCCAGTTTGAACATTAACAAAGTATGGACGACCATCGCCACGATATTTAATTTCTACACAATCATAAAACCCAATGTCAGTCAGTTCAACTTTATTAAAAAGTCCTAATTTAGGTTTAGAGCGAATACCACAAAAACCTGTAAAGTCAATATCTTTTTCTAACATCATTGACACCTCTCCACTAAACAAAAGCCTTCCATATTTGCTTAAAGTTATACTTGCAGTACTTTTACCACCCACTTCACTGTCTGTCAAGCAATCAAAATTGTTTATTGTTTCTGGTCTTCGAAAATCAAACAAGTAATGCTCTTTATCCATTTTTATTAGTTCTCCTCTCCAGCCTCGGTAAAGTCGGTTAATACTTCGTCGAGCCCATTCACCACAGGATTTGACAAACTCCTGAACCACCATTACTTTAAATATAATATCATACTAAAATTAAACTAAACAAAGTTTAAGGATTGAATAAAATCATAATCAATAATAAACAAAACTTAATAACTCTAAGTTTATTAAAAGAATTTCAAAACTGTTCAAAAATTCATAATAACATGTGCGGGAACAAGCGACAAATATGATCAGCGTGTATCTTGCGTGCGAATTTATATTATTTAAATGAAACCCAATAAATGGTACGCGTACGAATACACTTTTACGTGTGAGATAGTACTACTTAGCAGGCTTGTGGAGCCGACTGTTTTTTTGACGGCTCGGCTCCGGCTTCGGCTTCTAAGAAATACCCGGCTCCGGCTGGGCTCCCGGCTCGGCTACGGCTCCTTAACTTTATGAACAAAAAAGTTTAAAAATTTTTTTGTAAAAACATTTGCCAACCCAAAACTGTACCAATTACAGCAATTAATTTTTAACCAACTCTCATGATTACAAGATTATTGCAGGATATTACATTTGAAAAGAAAATTTTTTTGGGTAAATAAACACTTTCTTTTAAACATCATTTACCCAAAACTAATGTTTTTGTTTCAAATTTAAGTTTTAATTTTACCCTGGGGGTAAAGTACTTATAAAATACGTCTTTTGAACGTTCCAAAGACGTCCAAAACGTTCAAAAGGCATCTCAAACGTTCAAAAGACGTTTAAAAGACGTCTTTCTCATGCCCTCACTGAGTCCCGTGCCCACTGGGTATCCAGTGGGCACGGGACCTCAAAAAGACGTATTTTGAGCGTTCAAAAGACGTCCAAAACGTTCAAAAGACGTTGAAAACACTCCAAAGACGTTCAAAAGACCTCTTTTGTATGTCCCATGCCCACAGGGTAAAATATGCGATCGTTAAATTAAAAACGATAAAAATTTCAAAAAAAATGAAAAATAGTTTAACTAATTTAACTAATGCAAAAACTACAAAAAATATTTATTTTAATCTAAGGAACTTGAAGATTATAAAAGTGCTTTTTACTTTAATATTTTTCTTATTTCAAATAAATAAGCAAACATTTACGCTTATAAACGACATCAACTTCTCAATGGGACGGAACGATGGATTCAAGCTTTTTGGTATGAATTTGATGTCTTCTTAGAATAATGGCAAGAAGCAAGATTAGGCCAGAACCAACAAGGGACATCGTGACTTCAATAAAGTTCCAAAAGTCACAAATTTAATACAATTTGATTACATCAAAGCTTGCAAGTATTGCAAGCTTTGATGTAATTATTCAAGTTTAAAATTGACAATGTGACAAAAGCTGCATATTGCTTGCCAAATTTTAATCTTTAAAAAACTCTGAAACTTTATATCCTTTGGCTCGCAGTTTGTTTGATAAGCCGGGGTTTTGCGTGAATAATCGTCGAATACTAATTACGGTTTTCTTATCCTTAAAGCTACTCTTTAATCCAGATCCTTTTGCTTGTTTGATAGATAGAGAGCTCTTGTGTTTTTTTATGACAATGCAAACAGTAGTTTTTCTAGATCAGTTGTCTTAGTAATTGAAATTAACGATGTAGAAGGATTTGTAAATAGTTGTGCAGAATTTTTTTCGCTTTTCTATGTTTCAATGACATTTTAATTAAAAGAAACATTTTGATTCGTTTGTTGATGTTTTTAACTAATACCATAATTACTTTACGTAATTAAGCGAAAAAAATAATTTTATAATGTGTTAGTGACAGGTTTTAAACGAAACTTATTGTTCCAAATTAAACGATCGCATGCTTAAGTTTAATTTTAAAGATATCAATAACCTTTGATCAGTTAAATCGCGCATTAGATATTTAACAGCATAGTATCAGTATAAAAATATAATATAAAGCAATTCGTGCGTCACTGTAATGTTTCCATTTATAATTGTCTTTTTTTTTTAATAAAGAATATTGAAAATTTTTATTAAAGGATAGTATTTTGTTGAGCACAAAATCGTTAAAATATTCATTTTTATTAAGTTTTGGCATAACCGTAACTGTTAGAAAAAAATAGAAGTTCAATAAATAATTCATTCAACAAATTAATTTAACAATAAATGAATAAAGTTTGTCTACAGTAAAAAAATAAAACATACATTCTGTTCTGTTAAAAAAAACACGAGAGCCGAGAGCCACTCGATTTTTCACTCGACTCCACCAAAAAACACCGGCTCCACGGCTCCTCGACTCCGGCTCCGACTCGGCTCCACAAGCCTGCTACTTAGACCGTAGAATGTATCTGAATCTAAAGTATATTTGTTCAAAATGAATCTGTTAACCTTCTTCATACTTATTTTTGTTTGGAAATCAGTGCTTTATTAATTATTGAATTCAGCAATTTTAAAGGTAGATCATTGAAACCCAATTTTTTTTGAAAAAATAAAGACTCGTGTTTTGTTTTTATAATTATATTTTTTTTTTTTTGTATGTATTTAGGTGCTCCCAGAAGTCCTTACGGTCTTATCATAGAGCACCGCGGGAGAGCATTTAATAGGAAGTTCGCGCCTTCTTCCGTACCAATGTCGCTTTTTGGGCTGGAGCTGGCGTAGAACCTCGGACCTCTGGGTTCTGAGCCAGTACTCTAACCACTGCGCCACGGCTGCTCATATTAGATAATTGATATCTGAATAATGATTTTTAATTGTTATTAAGGTGTTCAAAACAAACAACGATCTTTGGAACACCTTAATAACCATTAAATCTGGAACACCTTAATAACCATTAAATCGGTATTAGGGTGTTCTGACATTAATGGCCTCACAAAGTACCGTCGAAACGCATTTAAGGCCAAGTTCACGCTGCCTTGAAGAGTCGCAAATATGGTCAGAGCAGACATTAAACCTGAGATATCTTAATAGTAATAAATACAACAGCAATGATAATAAATAATAATAATAATAATAATAATAATAATAATAATAATAACAATAATAGCAATAATAATAATATTAATAATAGAAATAATAATAATAACAACAACAACATGGTCGACGTAAACTGGAGGGTCTCCGCCGTGACTCCACTTTTTAGCAAAGGACTTTTTTTTATTGTAGTGTACATATTTTTTTATTTTAGTGTACAATTGACAATTGTACACCCGCCCCCCAACCCACTAAAAAAAACCCGTGTCAATATTATTGCATAGCCCTTGGCAATAATAATGACATCAAACTATAGGCCAAAGTAGTAAAAAAATTGACCCTATTTTTTTTTTAACAAGAAGTGGAACAAGCTAGTTTTAAAGGCTGAAAATTAATTAAGAGCTTTTAGTTCAAAATGAAGATTGTTCCAAGTTTTGAAGCTTAAATATTTTATAGATTTATATCCATAAGTATTAGTGCAGTGTTTTGAAACAGACAGTTTCAAACTATTATTGAATTAAAAATGAAAACGACTATTTCCACGTTTGACAAAAAAGTTAAAGAAAGTGAGGCTTTTATGTTGGTAATATTAAGTGTTGAATATAGTTAGAATATTGGATTAAAATCGGGTAAGTACAATTGGGAGAGCAAGTTGGTTGAACAGATCATTTATATAGCACAAACAACATAGCGAATTACAAAATCAGCTGAATTCTAATAAGTGATCAACCATATAATTTGGCAGATCTCATGCACACAAAGTACTTCAAATCAAAAGCTAATCCTAAAAAGAATCAATAGTTTAGGGACTTGAGTTCAAAAATGATTTTTGTGTTAAATAGCTAAGACCTTACCAATAAAAAAAAGCTTTGTATTAACTATTGACAATATATCTTTTTTACCGTCAGTTTTGACATCAAATCAATAGTGACACATTGTACACATATTGATTCATTCTACCATTAAGTTTAAATATAGAGTGCATTGTTTTTCACATTAGTTAAGTATTAACTAATTTAATTAAGTTGACAGAGTTAAAATTTAATTAAGTTGACAAGAGTTAAAATTTAATTAAGTTGACAAGAGTTAAAATTTAATTAAGTTGACAAGAGTTAAAATTTAATTAAGTTGACAAGAGTTAAAATTTAATTAAGTTGACAAGAGTTAAAATTTAATTAAGTTGACAAGAGTTAAAATTTAATTAAGTTGACAAGAGTTAAAATTTAGTTAAGTTGACAAGAGTTAAAATTTAATTAAGTTGACAAGAGTTAAAATTTAATTAAGTAACAAGAGTTAAAATTTAATTAAGTTAATAAGAGTTAAAATTTAATTAAGTTAAGAGTTGAGTTTCTATCCAATCAATCTAAAGTTAATGTGCTTTGTCGAGTTTGCTTCGAATTGTGCTTTGTCGAGTTTGTAGTAAATAATTTAAAGAGTATATCTCTAATCCCATAGTGGTCTAATTTTTTCAATAGAATAGAGTGATCTTACTGCATCAAAAGCTTTCTGTAAATCAAAAATACACCACATGCAAAACATTTTTTATTTAGAGCTTTTCTAACTGATTCAAATGAGAGCGTATGTCGTGGATTGATTGACACAATGTTTATAATGATGTTTATTTATGTATAAATATATACAAAATATTTAATTTTTTTCCAGGAAAGTATTGAGCTTATTAAGTATCGCCATGTAAAAGAGCTTTGTTTAAAAGAGTTTACTTAAAATAAAAAACAGGGAGATATCTAGTGAAATCTACCAACATTTATTTCTTGTCGTTGAAATTTGGTAAAGTTTAAAAAAAATTGATATCGGTTTGTTTGTTAAATTGTTTAAATTTCTGTGGTTTTCAATTTAACCAGGACATTTAGTAATTACGCTGGTTTTATTCAGCTGCAGCCGTATTCATGTGTCTCCATTAATTTTAACCCAGCCGTTAACGCAGATTTTAACGGAGAGACGTAAATACGGCTGCTGAGCAATAAAGATTTTTTATGTATGTTATGAAAAGTTCTATACTTAGATTTCTTTTCGGAACCTTGATTTTAAATAAAAAAATATCGTTTTTGTCGTTAAATTGTAAAATTAGAATAATACTTTTGACTTGCAGTTAGTGTGATCTGTCAAATAAACTATGGACTGTCAAATAAACTATGGATTTAAAGCCAAATTATCCACATAAAATAGTAGAAAAAAATCATTAAAATGAAAAGAAAAAGTCCGCAGGCAA